CTATAAAGCACAGATTTCATAAAAGCAATTGTTTTTGCTTTCTAATTTTATTATACAAAACAAGCATTATATTCAATACTTCAAATAATGACTTCAATAGTTAGATTTTTTGTTAGATTAGATTTCCTAAAAATTCTACTAAATCATGTATCATTCTAATTAGATATTAAATCAAGTATCACAGGTAATATTTTCTAACATCAACACTCTTATAGAAAATATTTTTCTTTTAGCTGAAATAATTGGATAAATATACTTAAAATTTTTCAAGAAAACCATTTTTTATTTGATACATATTTATAACATATTCAATTTATAACATTATCAATTTACATGATAAACTAAAGCAGTTCTACTAGTTTCTGATTTATTTCCTGAAGGAGAAAGGCAAAAAATAAGACTATTCATCATATTTAAAAATTCTTATTATTATTAATAATTCAAATTTCCAATAAAATGTACAGTACTATCAACTTTTGCAAAAGCGATGACAACATTATCATTGATAATTAGTATATGTCATCAGAATATAATGATGATGTAATTGGTATAAATCATTACTTTTCACTATACTTTCCCCAAGCAATATAGACTTTGGCTTAGACTATTAGTAAATTAATTCATCTTATTTTAATGATTTGAATAATGATAATGGATAAAAATAAATATACATCATTTCAAAGATAGTATTAAATCTTATCAATTTAAAATGCAAAACATCATGACAATAATTAGATCAACTTGTTATGCCAGAATATCAGAAACAATTAACATTAAGTATCAAAATTAATCACCATTAACATCAAATCATAGCATTAACATTGATATCAAAATATATAAAGTTTTAAGTTTATTAATGTATTTAATTAGAAACTTCAGAAACAATTTTCACATATGCACATTATGATTTATCATTTAACACTGATCAAATCTATGACAATGATTACTATTGAACACCAAAAAAATATTTAATGAATTATATTAAAATTTAATTCTTCCAGAAATGAAATATTTGAATATTTTAAAACTTATCTATATATTAATTAAAAGAGGGTTTCAGTCCAACTTAGTTTGAGTAAATAGCTAAAAAATTTGGTTTAGGTATCAAATTAAAGTTCTTATCATGTAAATCAGCAATTCGCAACCTAATAAGTCAGTAAAAACTGTAGACTTCTCTAAATGCATTTTTAATATCACAATTACATTCCGAATCGCTAGCCACGATATCAGGCTACAATTAAAAATAAAATAATAAAAACTTACTTGGTTAAATAAAATGTGGTGGATGTACCAGTACATACCTGGTACAAAATATTCTTCAATTGTATGAATATTCTTTTAAACAAAATTATAATTAAATATAGCTTTGTAAAGAAACATACATAAAAATAGAAAATATTCTTTACTTTTTAAATCTTAAAACAGTGCACTTAGTCAAATAGTCATACAACTATGTAATGAAAATATTGTCACACAAGTCTATGCTGTACCATTATATAACATGTAAGTTTTTTATGTTATTGTCACCCCTCATTTTTGTTACATCCTACTTACCAATGTCGTGAAACTCACCTTTTTTTTTGTAATTTTTAACAGCACTGAAGAGGGGTTGGGAATACAAGCCAACCCAAAATGCATATGAATTAAAAAAGTGTTTTAAATAAACCGTAATGTTTTCTAACTAATTGCTCTTTGATTGTCTACCAAAATTATTGTTTGGATTGCAAAGACGCTACACACAGAATTAAAATATATGCTTTCCACCTATAATATAATTCAGCAATCATTTGACTTTTTAATATTTAAACATTAATAAATGTTTTGGTACTAAACCTGTTGTTATTGAAAGTATATCCTATTTACAGTATATTCAATTATGTATTACTAAAACATCCCTATTTATTCCATAATAAAACGCAATTATTTTGCACCAATTTTGTTTATGCCACCTTGAACAGAATGCATCATTGGCATAAAATAAATGCAGCCTGTTTATACATTTTGTAGAATAAAGCTGAGAACAATCCTCAAAACCTTTTTATAACAGTGTCAGACAAGCTTTCTGTGCGGATCACATCTGCCACCTGGAGGCCTGGGAGATTCATAAAGCTATCAGGGGGGCAACTGCATCAACTACAAGGATGGGAAAACGCTTGCACAGGCGTGGAAGTACTTGTTCGAGGAATTCGAACAGTGTCGGTCGGAGGGGTAAAACCTGACGCGCACATTTATTTATTTACATCGTTGGCAACATCGTCACGACGGCCGGGTCGAAACACGGCCAGTCACCACCTGAAGCAGACCTCGGAGGAGGTCGAAAGTACTTGTGGAATTTAATAGTGACATAACACTCGTAAAAAAAAAAGGTTTTTCGTGGATTGTTATTATAACAGTGTCCTTGACAAACTTCACTAACGTTTTCAACCTCCACTGAGGTCTTCCTCAGGTGGTGACTCTCGAGTGTCATCATTCCAACGGTCAAGAGAAGACACCGTTTAGTCACCACCTGAAGAAGACCTTGGTGGAGGTCGAAAATGCTAGTGAAGTTTGTCACAGACACAACACTGTTATAAAAAGGTTTTGTGGATTGTTATTACTCAATGCAGTGTTAAGATTAGAAGTCATTTTGTGTTAAAGCTGAGAAATTTCAAATTTCATAAAAATGTACTTTATTGCAGACAATAATATACTGATACTTTACTAAACTTTACTAAAAATGAACATATTTTATTAAATAATAAATTAAAATGTATCATAACACTCGTAAAAAAAAAGGTTTTTCGTGGATTGTTATTATAACAGTGTCCTATATGTAATATAATTATCTAACAATAGATAAAAACATACTTTAAAAAATGTCTAAAACAAATTTAACAAGCTGTTTTACTGAATTCTTCCATGTAAATGATTGAAAAATCTTTTGATTCTGTTCTATGGGCACCATTATGATCTTTTTTCATAGATATAGTCAGGCCCACAACAAAGTGACTGAATGTTGAGGACAAGACCCAATAGATCCAAGACAGATTGTGAAAAATGATAACTTTTATAGATATGTTCTTGATATAGCAGAAAATTACTACTTTTACAAGATAAAATTTTTGTTATACTTTTTTTCTATAAAAATTTACTAAGTGAAGTTTATAAAATTAAATTCTAGCTGATGTATTTGATAAANAAGACAGATTGTGAAAAATGATAACTTTTATAGATATGTTCTTGATATAGCAGAAAATTACTACTTTTACAAGATAAAATTTTTGTTATACTTTTTTCTATAAAAATTTACTAAGTGAAGTTTATAAAATTAAATTCTAGCTGATGTATTTGATAAAACAATGGTAAATGTTCATTTAAATATTTCTAATCAACATTTTATTATTGGTAAATCTTTATTCAACCAAAAAAATTCTATATTGTATACACATTCAAATTTTTTTTTGTCTTGCATTCTTGCATACACATTCAAATTTTTTTTTGTCTTGCATTCTATATTGTATACACATTCAAACTTTTTTTTGTCTTGCAAATTTTTTCCCCCTGTACACAGGGGAAAAAATTTGAATGCATTGAAGATGGATCAATTGGATCTTATCAATAAAAAAGTCTATAGTTCCTATATTTCTCTAACTAGAATATTCATTTGTTTTGTATTTCTTATTTGTTAGACACTTTAAATAAAATATTATCTTTTTATTGTTGTTTCTATCACTGTTAAAATATATTCTCTTTTGTTCTGTTCTTTAGTTTAAATGATCAATTCAATTTATAACAACTTCCGTAAAATTTAATATTTTAATATTTGTTCTGTTTCATTCATCTTAATTGATGAGTTTTTAACATTATAATGAAGCAAAAGACAATTAAGTGAAAATCTAGTTTGGATTTTCTTATAAAGGATGGTTAACTTAAGAGATGTAAAAAATCTTCCAAGAATTAATATTTAATTTTTTAATATTATGATAAAAATAAAAACAAATTGTAACAATTAGAGCATTTTCATTGACAACATTTACGCACTTTGTACGCCATTTATCATTATAATTTTTCTAATGATAGAAATATTATAGTGATACTAAAAGTTTGAAATAATCAATAGTGATTTTGATTTTATCACATCACTGATAAAATTTTTTCATTCCACCAAAGTTATAAATTAGCCTAAATGACAACAATACAATTAAAATTATCTATAACAACTGGTATACAATATTCATATAAATAAACTTTATGAAATTTTTTTTAAATCTTTGATTCATTATTATTTTTGCTTCAAAATGGTTGAATTATTATTAATTACAAATATTTTAGAATTAAAAAAAATGCATATATAACAAATGTTTTTAAAACATTTTAAATTTATTATATTTCAGGTTTTTATATTTATTTAATCTGACCTATTTTCATATTTTTAACTATGTGTCAGATAAAATAAGAATAAATAGTTTGCAAACATATTTTATATACAGTACTGTGAATACAATAACTATTTCATTTTCTCAAAAACTATAATGTAACATAATTTACTGTAAAATACTTTGTATTTTTATACATAGTATATTTTATTTCTAATTTAAAAATAATCCCAATTAAATTATTCAATTTAATATATTATTTAAATACTACTAATTAAAATTAAAGGCAATTACTTAAATATAATGAATCTTATATTAAATGCTATGCAGAAAAAGTTTAAACTGAAACATTATACTCACCAAATTTACATAAATTCTTACAAAAAAAAAATATTTATAAGCACAGCTTTTGATTATTTTCAATTTAAAATAAAATTAATTTTTAGTTTTTAAATTTTATATTTGACTAAATATAATATATTTTTACTTGAGTAATAAACAATAATAATTCTAATTCTTTAAGTTATTTATTACTCAATTTTAATATATAAAGTGTGCATGTGAACAGTTTCATCATTCTCACAATATCAAATTTTATTTTCAATTTTTCCTAAATAAGTTTAATATATGAAATTATTTCTTTAGGAAAGGAACATTAATCCACACAAATGCTTGCCTTGTCAGACACCTTTATTTTGTCAATGTCATAGATGCATTTCAGGAACTTTCCCTCTTTAGTATGGCACCTGGGACAAATAACACTGACAAGGTAAGCATTGTTCCTTTCTTAAAGAAATAATTTGCAACATAGAAATTATAATACTATTCCAAAGTACAACTATCCTAAAATTTAATAATGTCAAAACAAAAATACAGCACCAGACCAAATATATGGCTTTCAGAAATTAGGAATTACCAGAAAAATGGATATGTTCAAAACTGGCTAGTTTTTGAATTTGGTAGACTGTAGTATATAGTCCACCACATGTCTACTTTTTGTTTTCCATAGAATACACATCACACAACACCAATACCTGTATGAGTGCTGGCATATGGTGTGTTAAAAACCTTTCTTTACTCTCAATTCTTAACTTTCCATTGTTATTATAAAAATATATTTAGGCTGTGTCCAGAAAACCAACAAAATCCAGAAATTAAGATTACTTCTTGTCCCAAGTTTGCCAGGTATTTGGTCCAGTGCTGTTTAAGTTTCAAAATATGAATTGCTAAATACTTTGTAAAAAATGTATAATTTTACAAATAAAAAAAATTAATAGCATGTATCATCTCCAAATTATAATAATTTTAAATTTCTGATAGAAAAATCATTAGATTGGGATTGCTTTCGGTGTTCAGGTAAAGGAAGGTTAGAGCACATGTACAGTACATATATATCTAATTAGATCACACACATACAGTATATATATATGGTCTAATTAGAACAGGAAAACTGCTTATCAAGAAACAAAGTTAGAAATTGTATACCCCAATTTACTTAAATTAAATGGAATTTAAATAAACATTTTTTATCATTTTAAATTCAAAATATTGGAATCTATAATCAAGTTATCTCACTCATTTAAAAAAAAAAATTATATATATATATGTTTGTGTGTGTGTAATAATAAACGACAAATGGCCGGAATTCTTAACTAAAGTGTGTGTGGATTTCTTATCTTTAAAAATTACGTGAAAGGACAATCGTCTGTTTATAACTATTATTACTTACCACATGGCTCAAGTTCACATATCAACTATAAACATGGCATTTGGCACAAGTTATTATAGATAGCTGTCTAAAGATGACTCTCATAAAGTTTTCGCTGTGTACAAAGGTCGCTGGGAGGCGGTGTGAAATATAGGGCCTGGATGACGTGGTATTTCCTGTCCCACTATGTACATTCATCAGGTCACGTTTAAACTAAAACGTGTCTTAGATTAGCTTTACGAGCTTACCTATAATATTTTTCAAGGTAAAGTCCATCCACGCGAAGACGGAGACAATATTAAAATGGTGCATCTATTAGATTAATATTAAGAAATATTTCCTGTAGGGAAAGATAGCTTTCCGAGTCGAGATAATCGACTAAAAACAAACATAATTTACGATGTCTGGACGCCATTAAAAATCATATCATAGGTAGGTTCTCAGACAAAGAGCTAATTAAAAGCGTGAAAAATAAAAGATTTAACAGAGGTCAAGAGAAAGATGGTGCCAATGATGGCGAAGAAGGGCAGCGAAGGGGTAGAACGTGATGGCAGCCCGAGGCTACGACAGCTGATGGAAGAGACAGTGAAACGTATAAACATATTAATCATGGTGTCTATGTTGTTTATGTATGACAGCCGCCATCACCTCAATAACTAACAACTGGATGGAATTGATCAGAAACCTGTTTTCTGTTTAGATATAGTGGGGCGTCAGGCTATTTCAACATTTTAAAAAATAAGTTAAGGAGTCGTATTACTTTCAATGAAGTACGCATCATTGTCCTTTTGTCAATGAAGTGCTAATGAAANTAAAAACAAATTGTAACAATTAGAGCATTTTCATTGACAACATTTACGCACTTTGTACGCCATTTATCCGGAAGTACCACTAAAATGAAAATGAGGCGGGATGACGTCATCGCTTGAGTCATTTCCCTTTTAGAAAATGAAATTTAAAGTAGGATATTACGCTAACGTCATAGAATTTCAAAAATCTTCTTATCGATTTTTTTTTGTTATTTAGCTTTTAATACAATAAACAATTTAAATAGCTAAAATTTCATGTTATGTTTAATAATAATATGTTATTCTTTTATAAAGTGTTAAAGGAATAACAGAATAACAGCATATACTATTAGAAAAACTACTAAAACAATTTTTAAATATTTAATACTGGTTAAATAGAGTATAATTATTATTATTAATAATAATAATCGATCGTAAAGTTAAATAATAATTTAATTAATATATGTACAGTACTACACGCGGTAATCAGTACGAGGATAGCATCATGTCGCGTCGAGAGTACACTAAATATCCTGCAAAATTGAAATATATATATATATGAAAAATGACATTTTTTAAATATTTATACTTTTATAAGAATATAAGATAATAAACAAATTTTTAATATATGTTTATCTGCACTGATGAGTGGTTTAATTTATAAACAATGAAGAATTTACCTTTTCTGGATGAGAAGTTCTTAATAGTTTATTTTTAATAAATAATTTCTACCGTAGAAAATATTTACACATGAAAACACGGACGTTATGATAATTTTTGCTATTATAAAATGTCTTTACAACGGGAGATATTCGTTTATTAATTAACAATAACTGAGGACGAATCGTGACTAATACGATTTATCTTTAGTCACGATCTGTTCTCGTGTTTTTCCTATCTGAATTATGTCGGTAGATAATCCTTCATAAGGATTATCTACATCATTCGAAATAGACTAATGAAGTAATATAGACGGTGATAGTCAAGGCCATCGAGAGCTTCTACGGGACTTGAGGAGAGTAGCAGAACCGGAAGGGGAAGGGGAGCAGACCCGTTTGGCCCCTTGTTTTTTCTTACGGAATACGAAGAATGTGTATGTGCGGTACATACATTTAACTCTTTCAGCCCTGTGGCCCTGTGGGCACTAATTTGCAAACTCATTATGGCAATAGGGCGGTCGGTTGGTGAGGGATGGGGCCCGATATATCTAGACGGACTAGTCCCGAAAAATTTCAGGGCGTTTTCGACCCGTCCGGAGCCGATCCTGGGTACTCCAGAACGGCAGGCTGTCACTTTAATCGTTCGCGTTCGGCCATCTACCCGTCAACATTAATTAATGTTATAAGGGTAGTGACCAATATGGGTACTGCACTTAAAAGTTTTTTTCCGAATCCGAGAAAAAATTACAAGCTTCTGCCCTTCTAGATGGTTTTAGTGATTGTTGCCGAAATTCTAATATATAGTTTTGTGTCTAATATATTTGTGTCTTTTTATAATTTTTGTGTAATAATTTGTTTTCCTGATTCAAATTAGACATTTTTTAAATCTGTCCTGCAATGATCCTGATACTAACATTCTTACTTATCATTCTTGATTGAAACTGTTTAGAAACGTTAGTTTGCGAATTAATTGATTTCGTAATCACTATACATTGGAATTCGAATCCGAGTCTTCAATTTATTGACTGTCGGAGTTTGATTTTATTGGATTTGTTTCTTAGTCTGGAGTCCTATTATTTATGCCTCATTTAACAAATTATGGGCGACTCCCATACATAATAAGTTGGTACACGTGGTTTTTTGTGAACTTTTTCTATTCTGTAAGCACTAAGATGGCTTTTTTTCACGTCAATCACAGGTTCGGCCTAATCAGAAATGGGAGGAGAGTTGTGGGGAACAGGACTTGACATATCTACATCAATCTAACTATAAAAATTTCTAAGTCTATTCGATCCCAATCAAGATTATTAAAGATCAGAATTACGTAACAATATTATCATTTTGTTACGTAATTCTATTCTGTCATGGATTAATAATAGGTCATGATATTGCGATTCTCGTTTTACTAAGAGAAACTGAAGATCCGGATAAGATTTGAAAGTACTAATAAAATAATTCCTTATAACAATAAAATAAAATTTACTCCGCGGTTATTCGAGTTACAGAATGAATAAAAACAATTACTTATATCGCACATTATATATATAAATTTAGCTATTTCTGTGAGAAACATAAATTATTGAAATATTTAAATAACTAATGAGCATGTAAGGTACTGTACATGTAATCAATGATGGTTTTTTATTATTATAAAATTACAATTTCTTTAGCAATAAAATAAAATAATTCTGCATTTATTAACATTAATAAACAAGTAAAAGCGTAACGGTAATGTTTAATAAAATCCGTTTATAGAAAAAACAAAATTTAAAATAAAAGTAAATGTTTATTAATTTAGTTTTTGTTTCTTTCTATGAATGTTTATATACTGTATATATAAACATTCATAGAAAGAAACAAAAACTAAATTAATAAACATTTACTTTTATTTTAAATTTTGTTTTTTCTATAAACGGATTTTATTAAACATTACCGTTACGNACAAGTCATTTTCAGATCTTGTATCATATGTAAAATAAATCATTAATTGTATTATTTATCTAAATAAAATGTTTATTAATCAACCCTTAATGGATCGCTTTTATTAATGCAAATTATGATCTGGTCTCCTAACAACATTCCTGCTCTAATATGAATTCCAGATTCTGAAAAAATACAAAAAAAAAAAAAATCCTCGGTTTATAATTATGGACAATTTTTGTATTATGTACCGTTTTAGATCACTAAAAGGCGCTGCAAACAATTAATTCTTTTAAAACAACTTCCATTCAAGATGAGAATGGAAATTATATCAAAAGAATTAATTATAAAAGAATGTTGGATATCTTTATTATGGATTCTCAAAGTTTTGAAGCGTGGAAGCCCTAAGAAAATTCTTATATTTTTTTCCTGCTATTCAGCAAAGACTATTTGCAGAAGTAAAAATCCTGATACAGTTGAAGATCTCAAAAGTTAATGGGAAACAGACACTGAAAATCGTCATCTTGAGTGTTTTGAATCCTTTTGTGCGACAGTACATCTAATCTGCATAAAAAATAGCCTACTCATTCGACACATTAAATAAAGTTTGCAGAATTTTCAGTTAGTAGTGCTTGCATGACGAAAGGTCGAGCAAGCACTATTAATCTTCAAAAACAAAATAAGATATTGATGTGTTGAGTGTAGTATAATTTTTTTGTTAAGCTTTTAAGCTTGCATTTAAGCTTTCTGTGGTTATTAATTTTTTAAAATTGTATCAGATATTTATGAGTTTTTTTATCACAATGGGATATTAGAAACTATTAATATAGCAAATAGGGTAAACTTAAATATGCGTTCTTTTCTTTCTAAAAAAAGTTAAAATTTAGCTAGAATTACATTAATAGATCAGTCATTTAATTATTTTATGAATTTTCTAGATTAAAATAAACATTTTCTAGTGAAGTTATAATCAAATTCCTATTCTAAAATCAAAAAATGCATCCTTCGGATAATGAAAACATTCTGAATATTATGAAGAACAGATCTCAGACAGACAATTTTAAATCTAGGGAAATAAAGGGCATTCTTGGAACACATTTTATTATTTAACACCTGCAATAACAGCTAACGTATTAATACTAAAAAATTAAATTATTATAAAAAATGTTATTACAGTATAGGCTATATGGTCTAGTTCAATTTTCTTGTTACAGACGAGTTCGAACTGAATTGAGGTCGTCTAATAAAGTTGAGGGATGAAAAACGATTTCCATACTACATTGTAAGGATCTCATTCAGATTCGAAGCTGGTTCCCTATGTTCGTAGACAACCGTCTATCTAACTTATACTTTTTTAAAACTAAATATATAAATAATACATTTATTTTAAATCTGATATAGTTGTTTATTTCGAACAAGTAACACAAAATTCAATCCCGATTCTCATAATATATCAGTTAATGAGTCGTATGGTAATTCAAACCAAAACGTCATTCCCATCTCTCACACATTACCTACCAGCCAAACTCAACGCATTAAATCCAGTTCTTTTAATGTGTTAAGCCCAGTTCCTACCATTGATCTATTGCCAACGAAAAACTCCCCAATATGAAAATTCAGAGTTGTCCTCATTAAATAACCGAGAAGCTTCACTGAGGATCTACCGCATACTTGTTGTAGTGAGAATCAGGCTGTAAGCGAAAGTTTATAGTCCATAAAAGTTGGATACGTTCTTGAATCCATGTATTGATATTTGAAATTCCTTTAACTATTGTTGTGTTTAATTAGGAGAACAGTTAATTAAATAAAATTTAGAAGAAAAGTTTTTAATATTTAAAAAAGTAGTAATAATAATAATAATGACAAGAATAATTTATTCAAAAGAACTAGGTCATTTGAAATGAATCAAGAGTATCGCCCAAATGTTCACTTGTTTATCTTTTTTTTCCTTTCTTTTTTAGCGTTTTGGTTGACAAATTTGGTAAACTTTACTGTATGATTTCGTCCAAAAAAAAAGAAAGGATTTATAAAGACTATCATTTAGCAACGAGGGGCTTCCAGATGGCAAAATCATGAAAAGAAATAAGTAAACTTTCTATGATGAATAAACATGGTTAAGGATAGACGTCATCGCTTCATTGGTCAATAAAAAAAGTTTCATTATTTAAAATTAATGACGGCTGACAACGAGTTTTGCATCTATTGAGAAAGGAAAATTTGTAATACCTGTTGATTTGTAACAAAATGCCTCAATAAGTTATTAATATATGGATAAAAGTATTAAAGAACGGGCGAAATCTAAAGCGAGCAACTGCTTCTTTATCTGAAATCACAATTCGAAATATCATGTTTCTAATGTAAAGTTTCTCATTATACACATTAATGATTTTCATAGTGGATTGAATGTTTTCTTTTTCTATTTTTTTTTCTAGTACGTATGCTATACTTTTTCATTAATTTTAATATAAAATTATAATATATACAGGGGGAAAATCTATTTTACCTACAAACTATTAGTCGTAAGTCAATTGTTAAATTTAAATAAAAATTTCATCAATGAATTGCTTAACTTTTCCGGCAACATTTAAAACTGCGTGTGGCGCCATTTGTTACCATATTTTATTTTTTTAAATTTTATATTTTTAATTAAGTACAGTATTATAAAATGAAAAAAGCTTTAATTTTGAGGGTAGGGACGAGTTTTATAAAAAATTGTAAATGCTAATAACGAGTAAAAGCAACTAAAGAAAGAAAGAATAACAAGTAAATCGTCATTAAGTCCTACCATACTCGAGATATACGACCTCCTTTATCTTCAAACCCCGTCGGTCTTTAACCACCAAAATTTAATAGCATCAATCCTCCTAATACACACACCACCCTGCAAAATTTCAGAAATTCGATAAAAAGCAGGGAAGTTATTAAGCTTCAAAGAGGATGAACAAAATCGTGCCTCCGTACATATAGAAAAACCCCTAATTTTTAGACGTTTTGAGGTCCCCTGAATCCAAAAATGTAAAAATCTTAGTGAAGGGGGTCATTTTGACCGATCGTCATACTTTCACTCTTATAACAAAGCCGGGAAAGTAAAAGTTTAAAATATTTAATCGTTTTAGAATATTAAAGATGTTAATTAAAATAATTTATATAACCTTCAGTATGGATGAGAATTATTAATTCGTATTATCTAAATCTTATTTACCCGGTGTTTGTAACGAAGTGTTCATTTCAGAATGTAATCAGCTTAATTTACTAGAGATTAACGTAACGACTAAAAATCATGAAAACAAGGTTTTTTTTCGTCCGTTCAATGCGAATGTTTTTATTTCCCGGATAATCTCACAGATTAGCAAGAAGTAGGCGAGTAATGCCAAAGGAAAAGTATAAAAGAGAAGAAATGCCTAATAAACACAAGTTTCCTCGACAAAAACAGTTGAGATCGACATGAAAATAGAAGTGAGTAGAATCTTAGAATTTATTGGTTAACATGTTTTGAACGAATCTTGCCTAAATATGCTAATGTTTCTTAGGTTGGTTCCATAATTATTCTTTCTCTTTATGTTTGCATCCTTTTGGTGAATATCTCAAATTCTTCGCCACCGTTTCTCCAAAGAGCATTCTATCGCAGAAAAATACAAGCATGTGGTTCCGAATTATCAGATACACTAAGTATCATTTGCAATGGATCTTATTATAGCCCTCCATCCGCCATTCAAAGAAAACGATTTTTTTATACGTATGACGATTTATCAAGTAAGTAGAAATGCATTGTATTTTTCTTTACACGTTCTTATAATCAACGATAATTTTTTTATTTTTTTTTATTTTTAGATCCTTATTGGAATCTTGTGGTCAGACAATACGGACATCCATTTCGAAGAATTTCTCCTTTCTTTTCTAATCGAGAGAAGAAGAGAGGCGTGGTAGACGAATGCTGCCACAATAGGTGCACACTCCAACAGATTCGTGCATATTGTAACCAAACTGAATGGGTGGATCACGAAGAACGCAGCCTATGGATGAAATAAATTGTTTAAACCAATTTTGAAGTTTTCAATGCGACTTTGAATTTTCTAATGTAAATGCCCTGTTCATTTTCGAAAGAAAATAAAATAATGCAAAGAATTAATTTTACGAAGTGAAATATTTTTATTCGATTTTTGATTTATAGACTTAAAAAACAAAATTATTTTTCTCCACGTGGGCACTAAGAGGCACCTAAAGCCCCGTGGGCGTTTTAATTATACCCATCGTGGTTCGGCTAGGCCCACAATGACTGGTTCAGTACAGACCACCTCAAACAATTCCGGGGGTTGCTCGCCCGGATTCAATCTCCGGTCCTTCAGAGCACTAGGCTGATGCCTCGACCACCACGGCCATCAGGCTGTCCTGTCAGACTGATGGCCGTGGTGGAATATGACAATGAAGAATATGACAATTTAAATTCTTATTGTAAAGAAATAAATTTAGTTGTTTTTTATAAATATATTTAATAGATATCAAATATCTTATCGTTCTTCAAATAATAGTATTTTCAAATAATATATAAGAAATACAGTGATACCCCGAACTTACGCGATAGGTGGGATCGAGTGATAACCGCGTAAGTCGAATTCGCCTAAGTCAGGGTATAATTTCGCAATTTGTGTAAAATCCAAGTCGGATGTATGTAAGCTAATAAATGTTCTCGTTAATCTTATCTCATCTTTTGATTCGTTCACGGTTACAAGAAATCACCATATAGTCTCTCAAGTCTCCGTAGATATAACAAACACAGAAATAAATAACACAAAATAAATTGTAACTATGTATCGATTCCGCGCGACACGTCCGAACATGTAAGCTGAAAAATAGTGTGGGAAGAGTGAGTAATCAACAGTTGCGTAGCGCTCAAACAAAAGACGAATCGACGAGATTTGAAAATCGCGTAACTCCGAGTTCGCGTAAGTCGGGGTAGCGTAAGTCGAGGTATTACTGTATCATTAAATCAGTGAAATATAGGTAATGAAAATTAAATTAGATTGATAGGTATACCAATAAAGTAAAATAAATATAGAGGAGAAGGTGGTATTATGGAACCCCAATTACATTTTAGTGAATTGTAAACAAGGTATCGTAACTACACCCACATTTTTTGTGCGAAAAGTACTGGTAACTAGTAAACTAAATGTTCCTAATTGGATTTTTCGCTAGTGTAATTATAAGTATGGTTTTTGAAGGCTTTTGTACAAAAAGTCCGAAAGTAGGCTTAGAGAAAATCGGGTGGTAATATGGAACCTTACT